GCGGGCACAGCACCGAGGGTTGCGGAACCCACATACAGACCGGTTCCCGCTCACTGGCTGAGCGAGGTGCGGGCACAGCACCGAGGGTTGCGGAACCCACATACAGACCGGTTCCCGCTCACTGGCTGAGCGAGGTGCGGGCACAGCACCGAGGGTTGCGATCCCGTTGCCGGTCCCAGTCCGGTACGGGCGCAACACTGAGGGTTGCGATCCATTGCCGGACATGAAAAAAGACAAAAAGGAAAAAAAAAAATGTTTGGATGAATATAAAATAGTCACTGTATATCCTTAATTTTATTAAATGAGTCCTCTGTCATTTTGCATCCAATTTGAAGATAATTTTTTTAGAACTCATCCTCTGTTCTCTATACATTAGAAATTGTGAAAATATAAAGAAGCTTATTTCCCTTTTGATTATTAATAAATTTCTTAGATAAAAATGATTAGAGCATATTATAAAACATTTTTCAATGAGCAAAAATGATATCCCATATAATTTCCAAATACATAAACCAATATTTTAAGAAAAATAACTATTCTTTTAGAAACTACCAAAATCTGAATATATCGAACTAATTCTCTTCAACTATATAGTTTTGCATTAGATTTTCATGGAGAATATTAAATTTCTTCTAACCTGGTTTTTAATAAAGAAAACCATATTTTTTTTTTTTTTTGGTTTTGCTTTTCTTTAAGTGGGAATTCCCAAATTTCCTTTTAAACCTTACACTTTTCAGCTTTACAGGGCTTTTCATAATCCTGTAGGTGTTGTTGTGACCCTGTTTTCTCTGAACAGAACTGTCTCAGTGTGGACACCTGGCATCTGGGAAAAGTATTACTATATATTCAATGTCAAAGCCTGTTTCTGTGCAGTAATGACATATGAGTTTAGTCCTCGTTAACAGTTATTCAATAGTTTGATTATATCATTGTTTTGAATATCGCGAAGTAATTTTTTTTTCCTTTCCATTACTAGGTCATTTTTGAAGCAGAACGTGGCAAGGGCAAAGCCGGTGAAATTGCAGTGGACAGCGTCTTGCTTGTTTCAGGCTTATGTCCAGATGGTCTTTTATCTGCAGATGGTTGAATGTTACTATTGTCTTTTATACCTTTGTATTTGGCTTTTTATGTCAGTTCTCTGTTTTTTGCTATTACATCATAGGACCCTCGCCCCATTTTAGAAATACACGCTGAAAAATTATAATGTACAAACAGAAATTGTAAGATGCCTTTCTTGTATAAGACATGCCAATATTTGCCTTAAATATAGTACCTCTGTGTCTTCTCATTCATTTCTGATTTTTTTTCACATTATATTATAAAATGTGGACATGCTGGTTCTTCTCCCTTCCCCAATATATCTGATTTGTCTACATGAGTTTATGAACTTCTCTATATAACGTTTCTAGAATACCCCCCCCCAAAAGCACAGAGAAATGTTTAACTGTTTGACTTTTATGGCACTTTTTGGAGACTGTGACAAAACAGATAGACTTTTGCCTAAGTGGCTTAGCCTGATCTTTCATAGCCAAGCTTGTATACATAAATTCTGTGTAATAATAACATCCAAATAATCACCATGTGTCATGATTTAAATTTTTCTAAGAATATATGTTGTTGATTCTCCATTTACTTATGTATATGATTATTTGCTTTTCTGAAAAACGTAGTTTTATTCTTTTCTCTATGAAAATATTTTATATTCTTTAAAAATTATTTTCTGTTACGAGAAAGGATGACTGCTTTATTAGCCCTCATAACTGCAATGCAAATTAGCTTATATTGTTGAACTCAAGGCCTCAGAAAACTACCTAAGACTAAATTAGCAGGTAACAGGACTCAAAAAAAGACCGATGCCTTCTTTTCTGTTTCTCTTTCCTTACAAATTCAAGAAGAGCTTTGTGTGGTAACAAATCCCGGGTGTGTTCCTTGAGGAAAACATTATATTCTGTTTAAGATTCTGGGTCAGAAACAGGTCCAAGACAGCTCCCCAAACAGAAGATTCCGTGCTGTCACCTCAAGCAATTAAACATTGAGCCATGGGAGAGGAAGGAACGAGGGAAAGTGATCCACTTACTAATCTTTAAAATTTATAACCTCACTCTTGAAGGTTTCTTTATACTGAGACCCATAGTAATCCTTCCTCAATATTGGGGGGGACACATTGTTTTCTTTAGTGTGAGGGAATTCCGGCATGCAAAATCCACACAAGACTGTAGCTGTACTGTTGAGATAACTGCTAGATATAGACACCCCAAAAATGGTGTTTCTGGTGACACCCTGTAAAGAACTGCCCAGCTAAGGCAAATCAGCCCACAGAATCGTAAGAGAGGATAAAATGGTTGTTTGGAGCCACTAAATTCTGGGGTGTTTTTTTACACAATAGAAGCTAACTGACACAGGTGATCTCTAATACTGTGGTAGAACTTGGAGAAGAACCTGTCTCTTCAGTGACCAAGGACATTTGAGAGCATAATTGTGGCTTAGAATCAAGGCAGATGGAGGGGGAACTTACAATGAAGGACAGTGCCCCAGTGATTCAGGTTAAAGAAAGAAATGTTGAACCAGAAATGAAATAAGGAGGCCTGAGCATCACACTATATATTGATAGAAAATCAATGCACAAAGCTGAGTTAAGTTGTATTGAATAGTAATATTTCACGTTTATCTAATATCTGCAGCAGAGACTTCCAGTTGCTTACCCAATATCCATTCTCACCTTTTTTCTTACTGGTATAACCCCATATAAATATATTTTTAAGGGGGATGGGCAATGTGCATTTCTCAGCCTCTTACAGATGGGGAGGCCACTGAGTATAAGCTGAAGTCATTGGTGGGGCTTCCAGGAAGGCTCGTTAAAGGGAGCTCACGGCTGGAAGCCCCCTTTTGCCAATCCTCTTCCCCCTTCCTCCCACCTGCAGTGTGGTTGTAAAGGCAGAGGCTCCACGAGCCACCTGTGGTCATGAGGGCAAGGACCACACCCTATGGAGAAGTGCGTACCTGGAGGAACCCTGGGTCCCTGCTGATGTTGGGAAGTCTCTACCCCTGTCCCAGACTGGTCACTGCTGGACAGTTTATTAAGTGAGAGAAAAATAAGCCCTCTCTTGGCCTATCTAGGATTTCAAACAAAGCACAATCCAAACCCAGGTTATGACTCTTCCTGACTGCTGGGAACTGCCCTCACCATTTCCACCACAAGACCATCGTCTTGTAGACAACTTCTTGGACCCTTAAATACCAACATATTGTTTGGAATTCCAATCAACAGCCTATATTGTCATGGAGCTCTACCCTGCACCAGCTCTAAACCATACTTGGATTCCTTTGTGGAACCTAAGGTCAGATAATTCAGCCATGACTCCCATAGCTACTGTCCCTGGCCACCACCCAACATGTGAACCCCTCTTGTCATCCATCTTCTCCCCCTCTCTCTTCCCCACCCTTTTATGGGCTCCCTGGTCCTGACACTAGCCCCCATCACACAGACTTCATTGTCTGGTAAACAACCCCCTTCCATCTTATTCATGCCAAAGATCTCTTCCTCCATCTCTCAAGTTTGGCCAAAACTGGGCTCTCTCCCCCTGTAGCCTTATCAAATGAAAGCTGCTCATCTTTCCACACTCCACACATGGCAGGGTCTAGACTGGAGGCATTCACCTTGCTCCACTCTTGTTCACAATCTCTTATTTCTCTACTTCAGTGTAAAAACCACTGTTCCTTTGAGGTGCAGTTAAATCTCTCCACAACCCTATGTCCTTCCCAGCCATTGTCATCAACCAGTGTGGTGGTATCTATGCAAATGCCCATCCAATATCCTCACCTCACAGTTTTGTTTTGTTTTGTTTTGTTTTTAAAGCACATGAACACTTATTGCTTATGGATACATACACACACGGTTAAAAACATAAAAGAATTATATACATCAAGTCTGAGAAGTAGAAGTGAGGTCTGGAGGTCCTTAATAATAATAGTGACATATTAACTCTAAAACCCCCTGACACTTACATAACGTGTTGACCACGTGAGCGGGGATGGATGAGGGACTGAACTTCAGCCACATTTGTCGCATGTCCTATCTTTATTGCTTTTTAATGGGATCTGAAGCTAATTTGATAATGGTTACTTTTGATGTTAGTGACTGTTTTGTTGTTTTCTGTGTTCTTATTTCTGTTGAAAGGAATAATAGTTGAAGTTTAAGCGTTCTAAAGCCCAAACGAAAGCCAAGTTTTAAAAAGTACATGCTGCTCTTTTACCATCCTAGAACAAAGAAAATATCTACTGATTATAATTTCTACTTCCCTAGTCACTTCAGCCCCAGATTCCACAAATTATCATATTTACCATAGCCACTCACCTCTACCTGAAAACTAATCTAGAAAGCCCAGTTACCAATTCTGAAGATGCTCAGCCTGAAAATAATGAATCAGGGGAAAGGCATTTGAGAAAACACCAAACCTGTATTTTCTTTTGGTCTGACTTTTCAAAGCCAAAGTGAGCAAATACTCCAAAGATGTAGAACTATGGTCTTGACACCCTGGGGGATAATAATTGTAACAGGAATATTAACAGCAGCATCCACCAGCACATGGCGAGCCCTTGCTATGTGCTAGGCCTTGGCCTGAGTGCTTTTTGCCTTCATCAACCATGTAAGCCACATAACAGATGGGGAAGGTCCTATAAGTTATCCCTCTACCATGGGTGGAGAAACCGAGGCACAGAGAGCTTAAGTCATGTGTCCAGAGCCACACTGCTGATAATGCTGGCAAAATCCCATTGACAATCCTCTCAGTATATTAGCCACAAATCCCTCACTCTTTCCATCCACCCTAAGATATAACTACATAAGGTTAAACTGTTGACTGGATCCTTTAGTATTTTATCTATCAGGATAAAATAAAATAAAATAAAATATCAGGATAGATAAAATACTATCCTGAAAGAATAGAAAGTGGTCCAAAACTGAGGATTTGAGCTTTAGCACACTGACACTGACCTGTATCTTCTTACCAATGGTTGGAGCACATGTTCATTTTTCGCGTGACCATCTCCAGACTTGAGTCTAGATCAGCACCAGGCTTAGTTTCTGTGGCTGGGGACAGGACAGGAGAGAGGTAACCTCCATCCCTGAGGCACCAGGGGACGGGCAGCATGAGAAAGGGAAGGAGTCCCAATCCTTAATCCAGGTAACAGCAAGGCATAGTGGCGCAAAACCCACTGGAAATGCCCACATAGCAGCCGTGTCAAGTCAGAATACAGTAGCTCCGTGGGAGGACCAGGGAGAAGACCACACCCTGGCTGTCCCGCACTTTGGCTTAAAAGCAGTCAGGCTAGCTACCACTTTTTGGGCCCCTGTTATATCTCTGGCACCACATTAGATACATGCCTCACCTCCTCTCCTTAATCATACAAAAACCTGGGGGCACAGCATCATTATCTTCGTGGCCCAGATGGAAAAAGATGCAGCTCGGAAAGTTAAATCATCTGCAGAGCTGGGATTCAAATTAGTGGCTCTAATTCCAAATCCATGTTCCGTGCCCCATGGCTTACTGCCTCTTCCTTGCAGGGTACTTGTAGTGGGTTGAATAGTGTCCCCCCAAAAAAGACATGTTCAAGTCCTCACCCTGGTACCTGTGAATATGACCTTATTTGGAAATAGGGCCTTTGCAGGTATAATTAAGGATCTCCAGGAGATCATCCTGGATTTAGAGTGAGTCCTAAATCCAGTCACTTGTGTCCCTTTAAGAGAAAGGAGAGGGGGATTTGTCACACACAGACACGGGAGAAGGCCATATGAAAAAGCACGTAAAGAGGGAGGCAGAGATCAGAGTTAAGCTGCCACAAGCCCAGGAACACCTGGGTCCAGACGCTAAAAGAAAGGCCAGGAACAGAATCTCCCTCAGAGCCAACCCTGCCAACACCTTCATTTCAGACCTCCAGCCTCTGTCTGTGACAGAATACATTCCTATTGTTTTAAGCCACCAACTTTGTGGTACTTTGGTACAGCAGCCCTAGGAAACCAATCCTCAAGCCTTACAGCGCCCAGGAGCTTTGTAAGTTTCATCATGAAATCCTACAGACAACCACTGAAGAAGCCTCCAGCTCAACAATTTAAGTCCCAGCTGGTCCTGAAGAATGCCAATAATTTTGCTCTTTAGAGTCTCAAAAGCGAGTGAGAACACAATAGAAAGTGTGTGTTTCACGAAGAGCTTGCAATTTCTGCAGGGGCGGTACAATTTGGTATAGATTCTGTTTTCAATGGCCAGAGGTCAAATTTACGAGGCTGTGTGCTGAGAGGCATCCCTGACGCATATGGCTCTCTCGTGCTCTCCAGACCAAAGGAGAAAATACAATTATTTGTAATCACTGTGACACATTTTCCTCACACCACATTCTAAAATCTTCAGTCCTACTTGCGATACTTTCCAATAGCCTTTGAATTCCAGCCAGTCCTCATAACTAAACATCACTGCTTTGTGCTGAGCTCCAAGCTTTAAAATGACATGTCCTCATTTACTTCAGGCCTCTGGCCATTCTGGAGGTCAGAAATCCAAGATCAAGGTGCTAGTTCCTTCTGAAAGCTGTGAAGAAGATCCGTCCCATGCTCTTCCCCTAGTTTCCAGTGGTTTGC